ACATATCAAACTCTATATAACATCATATCATATTGAAGTTCTGTTACATTCTCAATTTCCGTTCCCTTAGCTCAGTTGCAAATTAATAGATCACTTTCTGAGATCAGCTGCATACGGCTCGCTTTCCCACATTTACACTAAAATATTGTTGGAAATCTTTATGAGACTAAAAAAAAATTAAGAAGAAAAAAAAGAAAAAAAAATCTATATTTAAATTTGCCGATCAAGCGCGAACATTGGCACATATAAAATTCCCCACAAAAGAAAAAAGTTCAGTAAAAAAATAAAAATAAAAGTAAAACCTAGTTTTTAGGTTCACAGGAATGGGAAGCGAGCAACAGTTGCTGGCACCTTTGGATACCCGCCGTTGTGTTGACCAGGTTTCATTTTTTTTTTTTTTTTTTTTTTTTGCGCTTTGTTATCGCCAGCACATCGGCAGAAAGGCCCTCAGTGCGCGTCTATTTTGTTACAATTTAAGACGCTTATTAGAAATCGTTTGCAAATTGTTTGTGCAAGAAAGCAGCACGATCGGGCTGCGATACCCTCGCACCCGCAGCCCTACGCGATGGCAAGAGAAAGAAAAGTAGAGGGAGACAGCGATAGAGAGAGAGAGAGAGAGAGAGAGGGGAATAAAGTGGAGGCAGAGGCAGGGCTAGCTTGTACTGTAGTGAAGTCGAGCCACGAAATGCGTGCATATTAATTTCATATATTTACGTCGAGTTGGCTCAACGATCGCAGCGCTGGGATCGCTGCACACGTGAGCCTCGACTCTCCGCGAGACCTGACGATCCAGTCTGGTTTGGAGCCGCTGCCGCTGCTGCTGCCTCTGCTGCTGCTGCTGCTGCTGATGATCTAATTTGGCAACAATTGTCGTAGTCGTGGCAGTTTGTTTACCATTTGGGTGCCTAGGGCTCGTTTCGTCGGGGGAGGGGGGACTGGGCCCAGATACAGCCGTACAGCTGGAGGAGCGCAGATCCACACACATGTGGCCTGGCCTAACCTGGTCTACGCCTGGGCGATCAATTGATCTCGATAATGAGTTTGCTTAGCAGTCGAGAACGCACCCATATTTTATACCCTATACGTATATTTAGGGTATTCGAATTTGGGCAGATGTTGTGGAACTTCAAAATATATATTGATCAGTAAATAATTATATACATAACTTAATCTATATATGGGAACCTGTTAAGATTTAACTTCTTTAAAAAGTGTTATACGTATAATTGATTGATTATTAATTGATTATGATTGATATATTTCCATGTACTCACATCGAACTTGTTCACACAGTCTTCAGCTTTAAACAATGGAATATCAGATTTTAATTGTGAATACATTTTTCTAAAATATTTAGGTATTTACAAGTTGAGATATTTGAGTGATTGCTGAAGTAATTGCTTGAGTGATTGATGGGGGATCAAATATATATATATATA